ATACCTGTTATTCTACCGATATCATACTTTTTAAATTAGCCCGATATTCATATCAGTATAATAATAGGATTATATAGACATATCCCGATAGTCATACATTCGACCTGTGTACATTGGATAAAAAAAGCACTTATTTTGTTGTATTATACGATAATACCACGCATCTTTGTACTTGTTTAATCTTATTAAATCGCGGACTTGTATGTCGCCACTTTTTTGCAGTGATGTTTGTTTCAAAGACTGCAAAATTTCACATTGGGCTAGTATCACGGCATTGGTATCAAGATATATTAGTTGAAGAAGTTCTTATAATTGAGAATGAACTAGCTATCACTATATTTTCGGATGAAGAACTTAATGAATCCGAATATGCTCCTTAAATCAATTTCTCACATCTAGAAAGTATTCGTAAAAATCATATTTTTACTAGTCCTATCTATAGTGAGATAATGCGTAGACAACAATGGAGGAAGTGATTCAGTATGTTGAAAAAGACACTTAACTTGGCGATTATAACAAACCAATCTGAAGAACTCTATGAAATTCATATGAAGCTTGTCAAAGAAATGGAAGAAGAACTTGAGAGTCGAAATAAGGAAAATTAGACTATAAATAAAGAAAATAGAATTCAAGAGTTGGCTCAAACTATAACTAATCCCATTAGTATTAAGACGAAAGGTAGACGACTAGGTAAACGAATTAAACCCTTCAATGATACAACAAATGTTTTGAAAGATAAAAAAACAAAACATTCTGGTATGTCTTTTATGTCTTTACTATTTGATTTACTTTTATTTGCACATTATTTAATTATTATATCTGTAGAATCTGATGTTGTCGAAATTGAGCCTATAAGTGATGCAAAAGAAAGTACTAGAATAAATAAGAAGAAGTGTGGAATTTGTGGTTTGAGAGGCCGCAATACGCGTACCTGTTCTGCAGAATCCGACGCTGAGTTAGAATCTAATAATGATACCGAAGAAATTAGCAGGAATAAGCGAAAATGTAGAGTATGTGGTTTAGAAGATCATAATGCGCGAACATGCCAAAATTTTACAGAATAAGATGCGTTTAAATAGAACCTATTATTGTGACTCAAAAAATAGAACAGTGTGAGACTATAATGCTTGACTTCGTTATATAAATACTTAAAGTTATAAGAATTAGTATTACATATGGTGTAAAAATAAGGATGTTATTATATTACAGTAGAACTTGTATATAGTTCTACAGTTAGATCATTAGTAACTTTAAAAAATGGTTATAGATGAAATTTTTTAGATTAGCTTGGAATACTTTAACAAGAGATTTTATATTGCTACATACGGGCTCTGCTTATTTCTAATAACAATTCTTTGCTGACATATCTATAATTGCCTATATAGGAATGGTCTAAGAAAACCTGCCTTCGGCATTAGCTATCGAAGGCAGGTTTTCCTAGACCATTTCCTATATACACTTTATTATACCCTGGTCACTATATCAAGTTCAAAAGTATAAATCAGTTATACTCTAGGTCAGTGTTGTACATGGACACTGTCCACACGTATTACTTGGACATTGGACAATGTCCAAATATGTCCGTGTCTGTGTCCGCCATATGCCCAAAAATATAAATTGTCATTGGACATCGTCCGCGTGATATATGGCGGACACCGGACATTGTCCACGGATATGTCTACAGCTATATGTCCAAAAAATATAGATTGTCATCAGACATCGTCCGTGATACATGGCGGACACCGGACAATGTCCACACAGACGCGTCCAATTTTGTAAACCGTTATCACTT